TTAGGAGTCTGAATCTCACAATCAGTGCTCCTTGACTTATTCCCACTTGTAGGAAATTTGGAAGATGCAGTAAAAGAAGCTATTGGAGAGTCATGGATGACATTAAAATCTGCATATAGAAGTACCTCAAAAGAAACTTTTAATTGGGTCAAAATCTGGATATATATACTACTGGAGTTTATGTTCACTTCAAAAGCAAATCTTCCAGTTGTTTGAGGGAGTGTCTTATCAGGTCCAATTGTCAGCTGAAAAGCTGCAGAATCCTTATCTTTTCTAGCAATCATCATCTCTGCTACTTCAGGAACGATCCCTATGATGTCACCATTAGCCTTAGCGCCCATCATTTTGAACCCAGTGACCATTGTTGTAATATCAGAGAGGTTACCCAACCAAGGGAAGGGGTTCTCTTCAAATTCATAAAGAACTGTGGAAATAACAGCATCTACTGGCAATTCTGAATGATTTTCCTGTTTCAGTGTCGGGTAAAAACAGTTCTGGCAATCTTTCCTGGCAGAGAAAGCACTTGCAACATCCCACTTTTCATCTTTTTTTAGAGTCATATTCCAGGTTTGGGACTCCATGAGCGTTTCACTTTTTCCAGGGACTTTGCCATGTAAGACAATGTCTGCTAAATCTTCCATGATGGAGAAGCTTTGTTTAACTGCATTCACATTGACATCGTTAAGAGAAGCTCTCAAGACATTGGATAAGCCCGTTAGTACCCCAGCAGTCAGCAGCTCTGCTTCTTCAGACCCAAGGTTTCCCTTTCGATGCCTTTTCAGTGCCTCACCCACTTCTGACAGTTTATTAACAGAAATACGTTGTGATTCAGCATTGACTTCACTAATTTCCTCTGTAATCTGAGAAATGCAAGCGGTTACTTGATTAACTTCCATTATACTGGAAGTAGAAATTCCTATAGATATGTTAAGAAGGCTTTCCCGAAATTCAGCCTTAGAGACCTGGAGATCTGGTGCATCTTCAACATCATTTAAAAGGGAGGCCACCATATAGACCAAATAGCCTGCATTAAAAAAATCTCCAGTTTCAAGAAAAGATGTCATTGGTGCATCTGACCCACTGGTTAAAGCCAACAGTTCATTAAGCACCACTTCTGGTGGTTTATTTTCAGTTGGATCCTGCACTGTTGCCTGCAGACTTACTTGGGAAAATGCTCCAAGAGAATCAGAGACTTGGATATAGATTGTAAGAGCATAGTTCTTGAATGGTATGCCAATAGGGAGAAAAGAAGGAGGGGATTTCGGTTCATAACCAAAATAGACTATTGTCCCAAATGAATTTTCCTCCAGAGTAGTGATTTTACTTGTTTTTAATGAATCTGAAGCTGCTATTACTTTATATGTAAGAGGTAAATTCCTGTCTGAAAATCCACTACATTGAACGATGAAGGTGGTCTGGAATGCAATACCCTCAGTTGGATTGATTGTGCACCTTCCAATTTTAGGGGCAGAATTGACATAAAAAGAATACCTGTAGACTGATGATGCACCACTCCCAGTCGTTATTCTTAGGACAAGTGTATATGACTGGTCTGCAATATCTATAAAACTTAAAGCATTTATAGACAAGTATGCAGTAAACCTCCCTGTTGATGTTTTGGAAGCCCAATCAAATCTTTTTTCAGTGAGACTTTCTGATAAAAGGGACCAGCGATAGACTAGTCGACTAGTAGTTCTACAGTTTAGGCATTTCCCAGATAAAGTAAATCTATCAGTTGGAATTACAATTCGACCACAGTTTTCTAAGCATACAACATTCAGGCGTGGTGGACGTCCAGACTGCACACTAACAGTTTGGTCCGCAGAACTGTTTCTGTCACCTTTTTCAATTACAAGATGAAAATGATACCTGGCATTCCCTGGAAGGGTTTCTGGCAAAATGGTCTGAATAGGACCAGAGGAGTTTATCCACTTCAAATCCACCTGATCCGGATGACAGGCTCCGCTTGCACTCAATTGCATATTTACATAGTCTACTTCATGTTTGCTGCAATACCAAGTAAATGTGATTCCCTCTAATCCTGTTGATGAATCGGGATCAGAGGAAGAAGATCCATCCAGAGTCCACTCATCTGAATACCCCACTGTTCGGAAACTGCCTCCTCTAATGTTTGCCACCAGGTCACCTGACTCAATTCGAACGTAAACTCGGTCCGATCCACTCAGAACTTGTGAAGTAACTATCGAAGTTACGTTAACAGAGAAAGTAATCAGATATAAGCCAGTATCTAAACTATGCTTGGGTATTGGTAAAAAGACCATGTTTTTATTCCGGATCATGGGTGTATCTACAGGGTTTGTCAAGTCTGGTTCAGTTGTCATGTCTGGAACAGCATAAATTTGCCAGAGTGGGTTTGTAACTAGACTTCCAGTGCAGTTCGACTGGATGATGACAAACAAAGTAAGAAGCACCTCCCTTCTACCGCGTATGACAGGAACAGGGAGATCAGGTTTCTTGATCTGAACAGTCTGTAGGGAACAGGTTCTTCGCTGACAAGAGACCAATGACTCTATGACTTTGGAAGCATAATTGTTGACTGTGACTTTTAACACAGCAGATGCAAGTCCACTTCTGATGCAGTTCACTCTTGCTACAAACCCTGTGTATCGGGCAGGATTAAAAGGTAAAACAGAACGCCGGACAAAGTGTGCTGCATTTTTCACATGGTCATTGTAAGTATAAGTACTGTTCTGGATGAGGTGCTCTTTCTTTGATCCAAACACCTGCAGATTGAAGGTCCACTCACACTGCAGCATGGGATGTTGCACAGGGATAAACCAAACAATGTAAATTGAACTCTGCAAAAAAGAAGGGGTACTGTTGAAAACATGGACTTCGATATCGCTGTCTACCAAAGACCTGAAGAGGGCTCCTTGCTGGTTCAGATAAAGGTGCATGTTGAACTTGTAGCACTGCAACTTGACAAATTCAACTGTGAGTAGGTAAGAGAAGTTCTGCTGTTGAAAGAGTACATAATGGATGCTGGAACCATTATTGGGAGCACCGGCCTCATTTTCTTGGGTTATATAATAGAGTCCATGGGCCTGGCTGAGAATGTAAATGCTCATTTTGGTCGTCTTGGGGTTTAGTGTGATGTACACAGGAGTCTGGCTGCTTGTTTTCAGGCTCAGTGTAGCACCAGAGAAACTCAGCTCTCCTTCCAGTTCCCCCAGCCAGTCTCCATCCACATGGAAGTATATGCTGGTTATGAGCATCTTGCCAAGCTTCCGGGATGTGGGGAGAGCACAGAAGTTGCTCTGCCGGGCAAAAGGATTGTAGGATGTAGACCAGTTCCCTGTACCTTGCACATCCAGCAGGCTATAAGCCAGTGTCCTGGGACCAAGGGTCTGGAGCTCCCAGGACAGGCTGAGGGGCTGCTGAGAGACACTGAGCATCTTCGGGTGGATGCTGAGCATATGGAGTAAGGCAGGCTCCACCCTCAGAGACAGACTGAGTCTGATGGGAGGCCCCTGCTCAATGCTGACTGAGACAATGTAGAGGCCAGGGTGATGATAACGCACAGTCAGGTGGTAGCTGTAGTAGGAGGCACAGGCATGGTGCATCTCCACTCTGGGGTAGGCAGAAGCTGGGGGTGGCTCACGATGCTGGTTGCTGGGGATGAGAAGTGCAGGGGGGCTGCTCCCATGGCTACTGAAGCGATAATGCCAGCGGGAGCTCTTCAGGCGTGCACACCAGCCCAGCTGTACCGGCTGCCATTCCTGGATGGGGAGTCCCTGGGGCCAAAGCAGGAAAAGCCGCACATCTTGTCCAGAAACCTCAATGCTCAGATTGCGGTGGAGGCACATTGGTGCGGTGCATGAGGCCGACATGCACTGTACTGTGATGCGGCTCGAGGCCCAGGGTGGAGCTGGGCTCCCACGAGCCAGGCCTGGACCCAGCACCACCCATCCTGACCAGCGAAAGGTGTCCTGCACCCAGGCGGAGTCCCGATACCAGCGGCACCGTGGTGGGGACGGCAGCTCAGTCTGCCCCTCCCTGCTTGTGGATACAGCTCCGGGGGCTGGTCTGTAGCGCAGCTGGATGGCACCGTCCCACAGGCAGGAGACCCAGAGCTCATTGTCCTGGCGCCGATAGACACGTCCGTGGGGGTCAGAACAAGCAACCAGCAGTGGCAAGGGCTGGAAGGTTGGGGGCGCAAATGCCGCCCAGGCAGGGCAGCAGTAGCCCAGAAGGTGCAGGAGGAGGCTGGGGAACAGCAGCCTGTGCATGGCGATGAGAAGGCGAGGGGCACAGGCCCCTGAGCTAGGAACACCAGTTGCTGCCCAACCGCTCCAACTGCCAAGGGATGGCTGCATGCAGCCCAGAACCTCCCCATCACCCTGCACGCACACCGTGGCCTCCCCATGGCACCCCGCACCCCCTCCCCCCACGGCTGCAATGCCCCTCTGGTTGTTCCCACAACCTGTCTCCCCTGCTGCACCCTCACCCTGCCCCCTCCTCCCCGGGCCCGCACGGGGAGCCAAGCCCAGCTTCCCCCTGGCTGCCTCTGGCCCTGGTCTGGTGCATAAGGGGCCCCGGGGGGGACAAGAGGGGGCTTGCATGGGAGCTGAGGGGGGTCAGACCCCGGCCCGCAGGGCCGGCGGGGCTGAGAGCCAGCGGGGTTCAGGCAGGGGGTAGGGTCTCGGTGGAGAGCGGGGTCCGCATTGGGGTCCCAGCGCGGGGTTGGGTCTGCCCTGAAGCCCGGAGCCGGACCAGTGGGATCCGCAGTGAGATCCTGACTGGGATCAAGGGGGCGCTAGGATCTGGAGCGGGATCTGCTCCGGGAGCTGGGGCCTGGCTGCGTCGCCGCCTGGGCAGAGCGCGGTGCTGCCGGGTCTTAAATAGAAAAGGATCCCATTGGAAGCTCAAAATGATCCTGTCTGCTGAAAAACCGCCGTGCACTGGCAAATTATGCAAAGAAGCATTAACTACGTAAACAAGTCTTCTTCCTTGCTGTACACTTTTTTTTTTCTTCTTCCTTGCTGTACACTGCTCACTGCAGCTTGGCAGTGAGTGAGTGACTGAGGAGGGGTCAGCAACGTTGAAGTGTCTTTATTCGGAGGCGGCTCGTGGTGAGACCTTGCGGGGGGGCGCCTCCTCCTCGGCCCCGCCCCGAGGCGGGCAGTCCCGGGCCGCCCTGGGCCGATCGCGGGGCAGGGCTGAGGCTGGATCTGGATCATGGCGCCGCTGCGGGACTGCCAGGTGCGGGGCGCGGGCGGGCGAGTGAGAGAAGCCGCCGCTTCGGGCTCAGGGTGCCCGGCTGGGCAGTGGGGGGA